CTGACAGTCAGCACAGCGCCAGCTCCAGGGACCAGCCGGGATGATACAGAGACAGGTAGGTCGCTTACTAATGCTGCCAATAGTATACTTATTCAGCCGGGTGTGTTTCTCCCTGATGTTTCACCTCCCTCCCCACGCGCTCCATATCCCGCACATGCATGCGTTCACTCTCTTAGTCCTAACCTAGATCTACAGCCAACTGTCCAGCCCACTGGCTACCCCGATACACTCCAGCAGCGTTTCTTTCCCCCCAACGCCGGCTACCAGCAGCTCTATGTGCAAACCGAGCACCTTGGCTCCCATGTTAGAGCGTCTATACGGCAAAAAATACATAAGGGGGAATTTGTAGACTTGCGCCAATTGCTGCCACCCCAAAAAGACGTGTCACAGGAAGCCGTTAATTTTTCTATGGAGCTGGACAGCTCCGGACAGGTGGTATTTAGGCCTAAGCAGCAACCCTCACGGCCTCTGACCACAGGCCAGTGGACGTCAGCTTTCAATACCTTTATAAGTATTTATATTGAAAAGCACCAGGATACGAACACTGTGCAGCATTTGCTTGCATACATGGAGACAGTGCGGGGGGCAGCGGCATGCTTCGGGGGGGATTGTTGGGCACAGTACGACATTCAATTCCGACAACGCATGGAGCGTAACCCTACACGGCCTTGGGGCACCATTGACGGCCAGCTGTGGTTTGAGTTAATGCTCCCCAACCAGCGTCAACCCCTGCAATCTGCCAACACCCCCCCTAGCAATAACCAGAACCATAACCAGCGTGCCTACACTGCTGCACCCGTATGTTGGGATTTCAACAAGCAGGGTTGCAGAAGGCAGAACTGCAACTATGTGCACAAGTGCCAGTCATGCGACAGCAGGGGACAGGGAGCCAGTAGCTGCTTTCAGCTTACCTTTTTGGAATGGGCTATTAGGAAAGACACCAGCAGCAACAATGTTAGCCACTACCTTGACGATTTCATCCTGGCTGACCAAACCAGCCAAAATTGTAAGCATTTACTCACATCATCATTGCAGCTATTCAATCACTTGGGCATTCCAGTGGCCCCGGACAAAACAGTTCACCCTTCAACATGCTTAACATATTTGGGCTTAACCATTGATACAGTTAAAGGCGAAATTAGGCTGCCACGGGATAAGGTAGAACAGCTGACACAACAGCTCAATCACATATTGACAGCACACAACAAAAAAGTGACACTGCGCAACTTACAATCAATTGTCGGTAAACTCAACTTTGTTTGTAAGGCTATACCCATTCGGCGCCTCATCGATGCTCAAAAAGGGTGTTCTCAGCCGCACCACAGAATCAGAATTACACAGGGTATCCGGGCAGACATAAAAGTATGGCTTCAATTTCTTGCTAGTCATAATGGCACCACGTTATTCTTGCACCCTCAATGGTCAAACTCGCAGAAGGCACAACTCTTTACAGATGCAGCCAGCAGCCAGGGATTCGGTGCTTACTTTCAGGGCCATTGGACTAATGGTCGCTGGCCAGCACAGTGGCATGAAAAGGGATGGCTGAAGGATTTAACCATGCTTGAACTTTTCCCTATCGTTCTCGCCATCAAGTTGTGGGGCTCTGTTCTCTCCAACAGCCGGATAATGTTCTTTTGTGATAATCAGGCTGTGGTCCACATAATAAACCGTCAGACAGCAAAGCCTCCACGGGTCATGTCACTGCTTAGATGCTTGGTGCTTTTATGTCTCAGACACAACATTCTGTTCAAAGCGAAATATATTGACACCCACGCTAACATTATAGCAGATTCGCTTTCGAGATTTCAGTGGGAACGATTCAGGTCAGCAGCGCATCATGCGGACAAGGTACCAACCCCCACTCCCGACGACATGTGGGACATCTCATGATGTCTGAGGTTAACCGTCTCATCACTTCATCATTGGCACCAAGTACATGGCGCACTTATCAGGCGGGCAAAACAGCGTTTGAACAATTCCGCGCTGCATTTGGTTTACCGTCTCTTTGGCCTATACCGCTGGACCAATGGCTACAGTTTATTGCTTATTTATCGGTGTCAGGTAGGTCGCCTGCCACAGCCAGGTCATACGTATCGGGGCTGGCAGCACTCCACAAATTGCATAATATGTGTGATGTGTCACATCACTTCCTTGTTCAGAAAGCTCTTTCAGATATGTCTAGATTGTCTCATTGACAGGACACCCGACAACCAATAACGACTCACCTGCTTGCAGAGATCATTCGTGCCTTGCATTGGTCTGCAGCCAGTCCTACGAGGTTTGCCGCTACATATTTGTTGACTTTCTTTGGATTTTTCAGAGTCGGTGAGCTGGTAGCAGCCTCAGCAAAGGACATCACTAACAGAGCTTGCCTTTTTTCAGATATAACTGTCGCAGGTGACTTATCAGCCATACAGGTACATTTGCGGAGCTCCAATACAGATCAGGATGGTCTGGGAGCATACATCACCATCCAGGCATTGCCGAACTCCCCATTATGTCCTGTCGCAGCAGTGCAGCGTTTCTGCTGCATCAGACCTACTGGTACGGGGTATTTTTTCACTCATTTTGATAGCTCCCCACTAACAAAATTTCAGTTTCAGGCGGTGCTCAAAAGGCTTTGGGCGTCAATCCCAGAGCCCATTAACCCTAGTTTGTACTCGTCACATTCATTTCGCATAGGGCGCCACCACAGCAGCATTACAGGCGTCAGTTCACAACAGATCCAGGAACTGGGCGTTGGAAGTCGGCGGCTTACCGGACATACATCCGCATACCATCCATCCTATGATCTTTAAATGTGTTAGGGCCAAATGTTATGCAAAACCCTACAACTATCTCCACGAGTTTCAGATGCAGCCTGGTTCATCGGGTCTAGTTACTTGGCCCGGCTGCTTCACCATACAGAGACAGGTCAGCAATTTCCAATCAGCGGCAAGTGGCTGGTAAAAGGGGGAATGAGATGGGCCCAGTTCCGGACCTATATCGATAGGCTTATCGAGCAGGAGGCGCAGCCAAAAATTGTGGTCATTCACTTGGGTTCAAATGACCTCTGCGCTACTCCTGCTAAACCGCTTTTTGATGCTATATATCTCGACTTACTTTTCCTGCATCTGAGGTGCCCAAAAGCTACCATCATATGGTCATGTATGCTGCCAGGCTAGCATGGAGGGGGGCCCAGAGCCCGCGGGCCATAGACATTAAGCGGCGCAAACTCAACAGGCGCGTTGCCAATGTCGTGCAGGAACTGGGTGGGAAAGTGGCTCGACACCCTGACATCACTGACACCCACATCAGTGCCAGAGACAAGGTTCATCTGAACGGGCAGGGCATACAAGTTTTCTTTCACTCCCTAAATCAGGCCATAATGTCGTAATTGTCCATTGATTACCGCCTAAATTCCCCGCAGTGTACGAGTCCAGTCACGCGGTGCAGGCATTAACAAAAAAATGGTCATCTCTGTGTCACCTCATTTCAGCTCACCTACGTGATGCAGGCCAGTTCCAGTAGTAGCCTGCATTAGCCTGTGCTTGCCATCATCAGCGATAACAGGTTGCATGACTATAGCGGCGCTGGTCCGTACTTCCTCTCACGGACCACCTCAGGTTAGCTGCAATATTGCTGAGCGAGGCGCTAACGAAATTATTTCTAATTAAGACCCAGGTTCGGTTTGTATGCAGTAACCAATGCTTGTTGTTAGAGGCGACTATTAGGTTCAGGTGGTTACACTCACTCATTTGCCCGACACACGTCATCATAGGCCAATCGTGTAGATCGTGGTTGCACCGTCATTCAGAGGGATTGTCTGGTCCCGTGAAGATCCGGGATAGAAAGTGCCTTTAGTAACCCGTGCTTGTCGTAAGTGGCGACTAACGGGATCAGTGGGCCAGGCTCGCTGACTTGGTTGAGCCATGACATTGGTTCCCAGACGGATGCGCATGCTTCGGATCACGGGATTGTCTGGCCCAGACTCGATTAATTACAGGCCGCCACCAGATAGCTGGAATATCGCCGAGTGTGGCGTAAGACTAAACCCACTCATTATTTGCTGATAGCTGCCATATAGCTGGAATCTGTCTGAGTGTGGCGTAGAACCTGTCTCATTCTGAAATGTCATTAGCAATTGTTGGTAATGCGCATTGTCTCTCTTCCTTTGTCTCTTCCCAACACCACCACCCCTCCTTCCCTCTCGCCCCCTGCACACACACACTTAGCACACACTAAGCACATTATGCAGTGTGGATGGCAGCCACGCGCCTCTGCAGCCCTCACCCATCCGTGGCGCGGGGCTGTTTGGCATGGTACCGGCGGGACTCCGCACCTCTAAATTACAGCTTGCTGGCTTGCTCTACCTGGATACTCGGTACCCGCTGTTACAGCGGGAGCCCAAAGCTCCCACCTGCTGCTTCCACAGGGGGAGTGTTGAGTTTTCCCAGCAGTTGGGCTGCCATGCCACGGCAGACCAACTTGTGCACACCCGTGCGGGTCTGCAAATGCTTCGCTAACCCGTGTGGGCTTTCCATGCTTCGGTGCGGTTTCCTGTCCTCACCATCCTCACTGCACCCATTTGAATTCCACACTGGCTTTCTGTCTTCATTTATCGTGTTGGCGCTCTCAGGCTTCCTTAACAGTCAGCTCATAATACAAACAGTATTACATGGAAGGTCGGTTAGTATCCTCAATATACAAAATCACTCACTATCATATACATAACTGTCACCTGTTATTTGTCTGCTCAACATAAAGTGACTTCATGCCATGCTAAGGTTTTGTTGTACCAGTCATTAACCCCTGCAAACCACTAGCATGCAACAACCATCGATCACCATCTCTCCATTTACTTATTATCCAGAGAAAATCCTGAATCCTGCTACTAAAAACAAGTCTTTCAATAAGTAACGATTTGCTAGAAGGCTGCTCTGTTACACTTCAGGTTTTATAATGTGGGCACTTCTTCATACAATGTCCCATGGCCCACTCTTCTATGCAGCATCACTAACCTCATACACTGGCATACAGATGTTGTCTATGAAGCCCACTTGCATGGCTGGCAGCTTGTCCTTCTGTGTCCGGTCCATCATGGCCTGTGAAAATCAACACATGTCACTCAAGAAAATGCTTGCATAACAACATCCTCCCATACTGAGGTTCAGACACCGAAGTGTGCCTCAATTCATCTCTCACATGATGCCTAAATCTATGCAATGATAGCCAAGCCAACCAAAAGCTATGATTTCAAGTTCACTTATGAAAGGGTTTCTTATCACCAGGATTGAATACACTTTACATGGGGTCTACTCAAGCACATTTATCAATAATTAAAAAACATTTTCCCCATAGCCCTGAATCATAAAGAGTTTTTTCTTTTCCATTTTATTTTAAATGAAAAGCTATCAGATCACCTGTGTATGCAACCTATCAAATTTAAAAACTGACTGAAACACAAATAGGCCCATTATTTGTATTTAATAATACACCCTTATTGAACTAAATTAACCATGTCTATTTGTCAAAAAAATATGTAACTGTTATTGTCACAAAAAAATATTTGTTGGCCTTCTATGATGTTATCATCAAACTGACATATCATCCAAATTGTGTCCTTGTCCTGAATTCACTGTAACTCCACAACCCGAGAACACATAGAGGACTCAGCAGAAGCTATGTAACTCCACAACACATGGAGGTCTCAGCAGAAGCTATGTAACTCCACAACACATAGAGGACTCAGCAGAAGCTATGTAACTCCACAACACATAGAGGACTCAGCAGAAGCTATGTAACTCCACAACACATAGAGGACTCAGCAGAAGCTATGTAACTCCACAACACATAGAGGACTCAGCAGAAGCTATGTAACTCCACAACACACAGAGGACTCAGCAGAAGCTATGTAACTCCACTACACAGGAACACATGGAGGACTCAGCAGAAGCTATGTAACTCCACAACACATGGAGGACTCAGCAGAAGCTATGTAACTCCACTACACAGGAACACATGGAGGACTCAGCAGAAGCTATGTAACTCCACAACACATGGAGGACTCAGCAGAAGCTATGTAACTCCACAACACATAGAGGACACAGCAGAAGCTATGTAACTCCACTACACAGGAACACATGGAGGACTCAGCAGAAGCTATGTAACTCCACTACACATAGAGGACACAGCAGAAGCTATGTAACTCCACAACACATAGAGGACTCAGCAGAAGCTATGTAACTCCACAACACATAGAGGACACAGCAGAAGCTATGTAACTCCACTACACAGGAACACATGGAGGACTCAGCAGAAGCTATGTAACTCCACAACACATGGAGGTCTCAGCAGAAGCTATGTAACTCCACAACACATGGAGGACCCAGCAGAAGCTATGTAAGTCCACAACACATGGAGGACTCAGCAGAAGCTATGTAACTCCACAACACACAGAGGACTCAGCAGAAGCTATGTAACTCCACAACACGAGAACACATGGAGGACTCAGCAGAAGCTATGTAACTCCACTACACATAGAGGACACAGCAGAAGCTATGTAACTCCACAACACGAGAACACATGGAGGACTCAGCAGAAGCTATGTAACTCCACTACACAGGAACACATAGAGGACACAGCAGAAGCTATGTAACTCCACAACACACAGAGGACTCAGCAGAAGCTATGTAACTCCACAACACGAGAACACAAGGAGGACTCAGCAGAAGCTATGTAACTCCACAACACGAGAACACAAGGAGGACTCAGCAGAAGCTATGTAACTCCACTACACATAGAGGACACAGCAGAAGCTATGTAACTCCACAACACGAGAACACATGGAGGACTCAGCAGAAGCTATGTAACTCCACTACACAGGAACACATGGAGGACTCAGCAGAAGCTATGTAACTCCACTACACAGGAACACATGGAGGACTCAGCAGAAGCTATGTAACTCCACAACACATGGAGGACTCAGCAGAAGCTATGTAACTCCACTACACAGGAACACATGGAGGGCAATGTCATCTCTCACTGTAATAAAGAAGTTATTCATCCATATATGCTATAAAAGAAGACATGATGCTTATAAGGTGACCTCAGTCAATAAACATAAGCATATCAGTGAAACTATCCACTGGGAAGATCTGCTTTTTATACATTACCATAGGTTCTATCTTCAGCTCTGATCTCTCAATATCTCCTTGTTCAAAGAATTCACTAGCAACTAGTTCTGCAACCTGTTCAAACATAGTGGTAAAGCCTTCAATGAGCATGAATATAATAACATATCATGGCAAAAATCAGAAGTGTAGTAATAAGCAACAACAAAATGTGGACCAAGTAAAACTGATTATACTACACTGTCATGACATAAAGCCATGAAACAGGGACAGTCTGGTGTATTATCATCACATCAAACATGGGGAGGGTGTAACTGAGACGTGTTGTCATGACACCAAACATTTTTTATTATTTTATAGTTTTTTATTTTGTTGCATTTTCAACATTTTATACAAACAAATAACAATAATATTTGAGTATACATGATGAAAAATCAAATAGTTTTAGCAGAATAAATCATGGTATGACGACCAGAACATGTAGAAAGCATTGATATTACAACTAATTATTGACGAACACTTTGTTAACATATAATATTCAAACAGTTTATGTTGAAAAACTTGAAAAGATGGCATAATGTTGTTAAACTTATTTCGAAAAATTAGTTCCTTGAAGAGAAGATGATATTTATTGGATCATTGTTTTTATTTGGGTAACCAAGCATTACATGTTTCTTTTCAATTTTGAGTTTTATATGTGCTTTAGCATGTAGCCAGTTCTCAATTTTTTTTCCATATATGGTTTACCTTGCTGCAAGACCAGAATAAGTCGATAGTTGTTTCTATATCTTCGGAGCAAAAACTACAATTATTAGTGTCTTTATATCCAATCTTTTCTAAAAAAATGTTTGTTGGCAAGATATGGTGTAAAAGTCTGTATTGGAACCATTGTAATCTAGTATCTTTCGTACATCTAAAGGGAATAGTATTGTAAAGTGGCCAATCATTAGATATAATGTCGTCGTATAAAATGTTTAGTTCCCATTTTTTCGATGCATGTTGGTTTTTTAAACCTAGACCTGAAATTAGAGTTTTGTACAAGTATTGCTTCCCTTTTACATTCTTACAGAGATGTTGCATATATCGTGGTAGAACAGGGTTTGGTTTGCGTGTTATTGTTTTTAAATCTGTATTGATCTTTTGAAGATATTGTTTAACGGAGCAAATAAGACCATGATATTTCAGAAAATTGTTTTTTATGGCAAATTGTTTTAGAAACGTTTCAAATTGAAAGAAATTACCATAATTATCAATCAAGTCATTAATCCATCGAACCCCGTGCTTTCGCATCTTCCATTCTTTGTAGTAAACCGCTTTTACATTCTACCATAACATTTTTATTATACCATATACTTTCAGTAAGGATTTCATTATCACTATCTTTTTCAGAGTTTAATTCAAGTTGAGATGTAAAGTCCCACCACGCTGAAACGACATCTTTGTAGTAATTATTTCTTATAAAAGGAAGTATTTTATCTCTCAAATGTTGACACCTATACTCAAATATATTACCATAACCATTCTTTGGGAGATTCAAAATAAAAAGATTACACCATTTAGCAGAGTGTGAAAGAAAACGTCTTAGCATGGACAATTTTTGCAATTGTATAATACCTTTTATGTTGGGCATATTAAATCCTCCATCTTTTTTATCACTAATTATCTGTTTTCTTTTTATCTTATCAGGTTGACTGATACACCAAACATGGGTAGGGTGTAACTGAGATGTGTTGTCAGGACATCAAACATGCGGAGGATGTAACTGAGATGTGTTGTCATCACACGAAACATGGGGAAAATGTAACTGAGATGTGTTGTCAGGACATCAAACATGGGGAGGATGTAACTGAGATGTGTTGTCATCACACGAAACATGGGGAAAATGTAACTGAGATGTGTTCTCAGGACATCAAACATGCGGAGGATGTAACTGAGATGTGTTGTCATCACACCAAACATGGGGAAAATGTAACTGAGATGTGTTGTCAGGACATCAAACATGGGAAGGATGTAACTGAGATGTGTTGTCATCACACCAAACATGGGGAAAATGTAACTGAGATGTGTTGTCAGGACATCAAACATGCGGAGGATGTAACTGAGATGTGTTGTCATCACACAAAACATGGGTAAAATGTAACTGAGATGTGTTGTCAGGACACAAACAACATGGGTGTTGTCAAATGTAACTGAGATGTGTTGTCAGGACACCAAACATGGGGAGGATGTAACTGAGATGTGTTGTCATCACACCAAACATGGGGAAAATGTAACTGAGATGTGTTGTCAGGACATCAAACATGGGGAGGATGTAACTGAGATGTGTTGTCATGACACCAAACATGGGGAGGATGTAACTGAGATGTGTTGTCATCACACGAAACATGGGGAAAATGTAACTGAGATGTGTTGTCAGGACATCAAACATGGGGAGGATGTAACTGAGATGTGTTGTCATCACACCAAACATGGGGAAAATGTAACTGAGATGTGTTGTCAGGACATCAAACATGGGGAGGATGTAACTGAGATGTGTTGTCATGACACCAAACATGGGGAGGATGTAACTGAGATGTGTTGTCATGACACCAAACATGGGGAGGATGTAACTGAGATGTGTTGTCATGACACCAAACATGGGGAGGATGTAACTGAGATGTGTTGTCATGACACCAAACATGGGGAGGATGTAACTGAGATGTGTTGTCATGGACACCAAACATGGGAGGATGTAACTGAGATGTGTTGTCAGGACACCAAACATGGGGGAGGATGTAACTGAGATGTGTTGTCATGACACCAAACATGGGGAGGATGTAACTGAGATGTGTTGTCATGACACCAAACATGGGGAGGATGTAACTGAGATGTGTTGTCATCACACGAAACATGGGGAAAATGTAACTGAGATGTGTTGTCAGGACATCAAACATGCGGAGGATGTAACTGAGATGTGTTGTCATCACACCAAACATGGGGAGATGTAACTGAGATGTGTTGTCAGGACATCAAACATGGGGAGGATGTAACTGAGATGTGTTGTCATGACACCAAACATGGGGAGGATGTAACTGAGATGTGTTGTCATGACACCAAACATGGGGAGGATGTAACTGAGATGTGTTGTCATGACACCAAACATGGGGAGGATGTAACTGAGATGTGTTGTCAGGACACCAAACATGGGGAGGATGTAACTGAGATGTGTTGTCATTACACCAAACATGGGGAGGATGTAACTGAGATGTGTTGTCAGGACACCAAACATGGGGAGGATGTAACTGAGATGTGTTGTCATGACACCAAACATGGGGAGGATGTAACTGAGATGTGTTGTCATGACACCAAACATGGGGAGGATGTAACTGAGATGTGTTGTCATCACACCAAACATGGGGAAAATGTAACTGAGATGTGTTGTCAGGACATCAAACATGGAGATGGAGGATGTAAACTGAGATGTGTTGTCATGACACCAAACATGGGGAGGATGTAACTGAGATGTGTTGTCAGGACACCAAACATGGGGAGGATGTAACTGAGATGTGTTGTCATGACACCAAACATGGGGAGGATGTAACTGAGATGTGTTGTCAGGACACACAAACATGGGGAGGATGTAACTGAGATGTGTTGTCATGTGTTGTCACCAAACATGGGGAGGATGTAACTGAGATGTGTTGTCAGGACACCAAACATGGGGAGGATGTAACTGAGATGTGTTGTCATGACACCAAACATGGGGAGGATGTAACTGAGATGTGTTGTCAGGACACCAAACATGGGGAGGATGTAACTGAGATGTGTTGTCATGACACCAAACATGGGGAGGATGTAACTGAGATGTGTTGTCAGGACACCAAACATGGGGAGAGGATGTAACTGAGATGTGTTGTCATGACACCAAACATGGGGAGGATGTAACTGAGATGTGTTGTCATGACACCAAACATGGGGAGGATGTAACTGAGATGTGTTGTCATGACACCAAACATGGGGAGGATGTAACTGAGATGTGTTGTCAGGACACCAAACATGGGGAGGATGTAACTGAGATGTGTTGTCAGGACACCAAACATGGGGAGGATGTAACTGAGATGTGTTGTCATGACACCAAACATGGGGAGGATGTAACTGAGATGTGTTGTCATGACACCAAACATGGGGAGGATGTAACTGAGATGTGTTGTCATGACACGAAACATGGGGAGGATGTAACTGAGATGTGTTGTCAGGACATCAAACATGGGGAGGATGTAACTGAGATGTGTTGTCATCACACCAAACATGGGGAAAATGTAACTGAGATGTGTTGTCAGGACACCAAACATGGGGAGGATGTAACTGAGATGTGTTGTCATGACACCAAACATGGGGAGGATGTAACTGAGATGTGTTGTCATGACACCAAACATGGGGAGGATGTAACTGAGATGTGTTGTCAGGACACCAAACATGGGGAGGATGTAACTGAGATGTGTTGTCAGGACACCAAACATGGGGAGGATGTAACTGAGATGTGTTGTCATGGACACCAAACATGGGGAGGATGTAACTGAGATGTGTTGTCAGGACATCAAACATGGAGAGGATGTAACTGAGATGTGTTGTCATGACACCAAACATGGGGGAGGATGTAACTGAGATGTGTTGTCAGGACATCAAACATGGGGAGGATGTAACTGAGATGTGTTGTCATGACACCAAACATGGGGAGGATGTAACTGAGATGTGTTGTCATAGGACACCAAACATGTATGGGAGGATGTAACTGAGAGATGTGTTGTCATGACACCAAACATGGGGAGGATGTAACTGAGATGTGTTGTCAGGACACACCAAACATGGGGAGGATGTAACTGAGATGTGTTGTCATGACACAAAAACATGGGGAGGATGTAACTGAGATGTGTTGTCATGACACCAAACATGGGGAGGATGTAACTGAGATGTGTTGTCAGGACACCAAACATGGGGAGGATGTAACTGAGATGTGTTGTCAGGACACCAAACATGGGGAGGATGTAACTGAGATGATGTGTTGTCAGGACACCAAACATGGGGAGGATGTAACTGAGATGTGTTGTCATGACACCAAACATGGGGAGGATGTAACTGAGAGATGTGTTGTCATGACACCAAACATGGGAGGATGTAACTGAGATGTGTTGTCAGGACACCAAACATGGGAGGATGTAACTGAGATGTGTTGTCAGGACACCAAACATGGGGAGGATGTAACTGAGATGTGTTGTCAGGACACCAAACATGGGGAGGATGTAACTGAGATGTGTTGTCATGACACCAAACATGGGGAGGATGTAACTGAGAGATGTGTTGTCATGACACCAAACATGGGGAGGATGTAACTGAGATGTGTTGTCAGGACACACCAAACATGGGAGGATGTAACATGGGGAGGATGTAACTGAGATGTGTTGTCATGACACCAAACATGGGGAGGATGTAACTGAGATGTGTTGTCATGACACCAAACATGGGGAGGATGTAACTGAGATGTGTTGTCATGACACCAAACATGGGGAGGATGTAACTGAGATGTGTTGTCATGACACCAAACATGGGGAGGATGTAACTGAGATGTGTTGTCATGACACCAAACATGGGGAGGATGTAACTGAGATGTGTTGTCATGACACCAAACATGGGGAGGATGTAACTGAGATGTGTTGTCATGACATCAAACATGGGGAGGATGTAACTGAGATGTGTTGTCATGACACCAAACATGGGGAGGATGTAACTGAGATGTGTTGTCATGACACCAAACATGGGGAGGATGTAACTGAGATGTGTTGTCATGACACCAAACATGGGGAGGATGTAACTGAGATGTGTTGTCATCTTCCCAAACATGGGGAGGATGTAACTGAGATGTGTTGTCATGACATCAAACATGGGGAGGATGTAACTGAGATGTGTTGTCATGACACCAAACATGGGGACACCAAACATGTAACTGTAACTGAGATGTGTTGTCATGACATCAAACATGGGGAGGATGTAACTGAGATGTGTTGTCATGACACCAAACATGGGGAGGATGTGTTGTCAACTGAGATGTGTTGTCAGTTGACAGGACACCAAACATGGGGAGGATGTAACTGAGATGTGTTGTCAGGACACCAAACATGGGAGAGGATGTAACTGAGATGTGTTGTCAGGATGTAACTGAGATGTGTTGTCAGGACACCAAACATGGGGGAGGATGTAACTGAGATGTGTTGTCATGACACCAAACATGGGGAGGATGTAACTGAGATGTGTTGTCCTGTGGAGGATGACATGACACCAAACATGTGTTGTCATGACACCAAACATGGGAGGATGTAACTGAGATGTGTTGTCAATCACACACCAAACATGGGGAGGATGTAACTGAGATGTGTTGTCAGGACATCAAACATGGGGAGGATGTAACTGAGATGTGTTGTCATGACACCAAACATGGGGAGGAGGATGTAACTGAGATGTGTTGTCATGACACCAAACATGGGGAGGATGTAACTGAGATGTGTTGTCATGACACCAAACATGGGGAGGATGTAACTGAGATGTGTTGTCATTACACCAAACATGGGGAGGATGTAACTGAGATGTGTTGTCAGGACACCAAACATGGGGAGGATGTAACTGAGATGTGTTGTCATCTTCCCAAACATGGGGAGGATGTAACTGAGATGTGTTGTCATGACATCAAACATGGGGAGGATGTAACTGAGATGTGTTGTCATTACACCAAACATGGGGAGGATGTAACTGAGATGTGTTGTCAGGACACCAAACATGGGGAGGATGTAACTGAGATGTGTTGTCATGACACCAAACATGGGGAGGATGTAACTGAGATGTGTTGTCATGACACCAAACATGGGGAGGATGTAACTGAGATGTGTTGTCATGACACCAAACATGGGGAGGATGTAACTGAGATGTGTTGTCAGGACACCAAACATGGGGAGGATGTAACTGAGATGTGTTGTCATCACACCAAACATGGGGAGGATGTAACTGAGATGTGTTGTCAGGACACCAAACATGGGGAGGATGTAACTGAGATGTGTTGTCATGACACCAAACATGGGGAGGATGTAACTGAGATGTGTTGTCATGACACCAAACATGGGGAGGATGTAACTGAGAGGGGAGGATGTAACTGAGATGTGTTGTCATGACACCAAACATGGGGAGGAGGTAACTAAGAGATGTGTTGTCATGACACCAAACATGGGGAGGATGTAACTGAGATGTGTTGTCATGACACCAAACATGGGGAGGATGTAACTGAGATGTGTTGTCATGACACCAAACATGGGGACAGAGATGTGTTCTCATGGGAGATGATGTAACTGAGATGTGTTGTCATGACACCAAACATGGGGAGGATGTAACTGAGATGTGTTGTCAGGACACCAAACATGGGGAGGATGTAACTGAGATGTGTTGTCATGACACCATGGGGAGGATGTAACTGAGATGTGTTGTCATGGGGGAGGATGTAACTGAGATGTGTTGTCATGACACCAAACATGGGGAGGATGTAACTGAGATGTGTTGTCAGGACATCAAACATGGGGAGGATGTAACTGAGATGTGTTGTCATGACACCAAACATGGGGAGGATGTAACTGAGATGTGTTGTCATGACACCAAACATGGGGAGGATGTAACTGAGATGTGTTGTCAGGACACCAAACATGGGGAGGATGTAACTGAGATGTGTTGTCAGGACACCAAACATGGGGAGGATGTAACTGAGATGTGTTGTCAGGACACCAAACATGGGGAGGATGTAACTGAGATGTGTTGTCAGGACACCAAACATGGGGAGGATGTAACTGAGATGTGTTGTCATGACACCAAACATGGGGAGGATGTAACTGAGATGTGTTGTCATGACACCAAACATGGGGAGGATGTAACAGAGATGTGTTGTCAGGACACCAAACATGGGGAGGATGTAACTGAGATGTGTTGTCAGGACACCAAACATGGGGAGGATGTAACTGAGATGTGTTGTCAGGACACCAAACATGGGGAGGGTGTAACTGAGATGTGTTGTCAGGACACCAAACATGGGGAGGATGTAACTGAGATGTGTTGTCATGACACCAAACATGGGGAGGATGTAACGGAGATGTGTTGTCATGACACCAAACATGCGGAGGATGTAACCGAGATGTGTTGTCAGGACACCAAACATGGGGAGGATGTAACTGAGATGTGTTGCCATGACACCAAACATGGGGAGGATGTAACTGAGATGTGTTGTCATGACACCAAACATGGGGAGGATGTAACTGAGATGTGTTGTCATCATACCAAACATGGGGAGGATGTAACTGAGATGTGTTGTCATGACACCAAACATGGGGAGGATGTAACTGAGATGTGTTGTCATGACACCAAACATGGGGAGGATGTAACTGAGATGTGTTGTCATGACACCAAACATGGGGAGGATGTAACTGAGATGTGTTGTCATCTTCCCAAACATGGGGAGGATGTAACTGAGATGAGTTGTCAGGACATCAAACTTGGGGAGGGTGTAACTGAGATGTGTTGTCATGACACCAAACTTGGGGAGGGTGTAACTGAGATGAGTTGTCATGACATCAAACATGGGGAAGATGTAACTGAGATGTGTTGTCATGACACCAAACTTGGGGAGGGTGTAACTGATGTTGCTGAAGACCAGTTCTAACCGGAATCTTCACAGGTCAGGGTGGAGGTGGCAGGTGAGTAAATTGATAGATGAAGCTCTTACCTTCCTCTGCACCTCCCATGGTTTGGCAATGGCTGCAACATCTGAGGCCGTCATCATCATTGACCTGCGACACACAATACCTGAACTATAACCTCAGTATTATAGTTTCAAATACGCTAGTGGTCATTCTAATCTTTCTAAAAAGTGGGCTCATGGCCCACCTGTCCTCAGTTCTGTGGGCCACTTAGAAAATGTGGAACATGTCCAACTGCTGTGACTGCCATGCAAAACTTGCTAGTTACTGGTATGTGTGACGGGAAAGGTCAACAATTTGGCAAAAAGAAACCAAATCAAGATCAGTTCAACACATTTATAAAACAGTTCACATTAATTCAAAATGGATTTTAAAAGATGACTAAATGGTAAACTATACAAAATACCCAATCTCAATGTTCATTCACAACTGACCAGTTTTCTTCTAGCTGACACTGTAAGTCTGTTTTTAACACAAAACCTTTAAAACACAACTTGACACTTCAACAATGTCTTATCAGTGTTTGTATGATTGTGATCATTCAGTCGGTGACTAATATATTTTCATATCATCAGATTATATTTGTGGACATTATACCTGTGTAGATGGCAGTGTTTGATATTGCTGCAATGTGTCTGGATGCATCATGCAGTAACTGTAAATACTCTGATGATGGCTTGTGGTTAAGATACAGTTGTCTTCAGTTTGTGACATGTTTTACAATTATTCATGTGATAACTGAAGAAACAGCGGATGTATTGAAGTGTCCCAAAGCCCAGCACACAAGGATGCTTGTAATGTTGATTGTGAATTCTAACCCTGAACCTGCCATACCCTTGTTTTTCAGGTGGGTATTGCACACTGTACATTGCGTACATTTGCTGCTACTTGGTTGAATGATAGCCAGAGGCAAAGTGGGAACCACAAATCTAAAATAAATACAAGTATTGTCACTAAGGGGACATAATCCCCCCACCCCAAATTATCAAATCAAACATATAAAGTACCGGTAATGAAAGTTTAAGATGAAGTTAAATGTCAACAAAAACATGACTAATCAACCTCTCTTGTTATCTGGCTCTTTAGTTGTTCAAACACACACATATTTTCAAGACTGACTTTGACCTTGACATGAATGTCATAGGGTATGAAATATGCAAAACTAGTACTAAAGAAATTGCTTATTGAAAAGCATTCAAGAGAAGTCTTAAAAGTTTATGAAGAAAATCCAGTGAACCGTTCTTAAAATATCTTGCTGACAATTCAGGTTAACATGCTGAAATCTTCAAAGTGTCGTCGTGACCCTAAAAATTATGTGAAGGTCACCAAAATTGAATGGGCCCTGGGCCTTCCCTAGATGAAGCTTGGTGTCAAATATGACGAAAATCCAGTGACTATTTTTTGCGATATCTTGCTGACTATCTTAACATGCAATTTAACATGCTGTAATCTTCAGTGTCGCCATGACCTTGAAAATTAAGTGAAGGTCACCAAAATCGACTGGGCCCTGCGCCTTCCCTAGATAAAGCTTGGTATTGAATACGAAGAAAATCCAGAGAACGGGTCCTGAGATAGCTTAACATGCAGGTAAAATGTGTAAGTCCCCTTGTGACCTTGAAATGAAGGTCAAGGTCACCAAACCTGAGTTGGACCTTTCTTATACTGTGATGAAACTACGTACCAAATATGAAAAGAATCTAGTGAACGGTTCTTAAGATATTCCAATTCGTACGGACAGAGCCTAATACTATATCCCCCGCTTCGCGCTAAACTCACGGCGGGGGATAATAAACACATGGACGCCGGTTCTTTGCAAAAAATGAAAGAAGTTTAGACCGACATCAGCATTTCACAGCCGGTGTGCCCCTATGGCAAAAAAGTGTGAAACTGCCACATGCAACATGATTGGTTCACTAAACAAAACTGACCTATCACAATCAATTTTACATAGCGCTTCAGTCATATATTATTCTCATTATACAGATTTGAAGGCTTCTAGCTATCATTGTAAACACAGGTAGATATTGATGTGCTGAGTTAAGTGTACTCAAAACAATAATAGATCTCTTCAGGGAGGGAAGGTAGCGCTACTACAGGTTTGGAGTTTTGCATGATCTGCCAAGTGAAAATAACTTGTCATGCATTTCAGAATGATATTTATGAACGTACCAACTTGTACAGTGTGCCATGTAAAATGTTAGTGTGCAAATGGGGCAAAGGGGCTGCCTTGAATAAACACAGATACACTGAAGAAAATAAAGATGTTTAGAATAACATAACTAAGTTGTGTCTTTTGTGGCTTGCAATGCTAATGTTCAGGAAGGTGAATCCTTCTTCCCTGTTGAAAGCAGTTGGTTTATCTGCAATGCTGACTTCTAGCTACAGACAGTGGTGTAGTACAACATGCTACGTGGTCTTGTCACTGTGGGCAGGACATACCTGAGTAAATCTCGATGGTCATCATTGTTCCAATCAGCTTTGTCAGCTTTCACCAACTCAAAGAATTTTCCCCGATACCTGAAGAGTGATAGATACATAGCAATATGTTCAGAAAATGCACAGTGTTATATGGCAGTACATGGGCACACATCTGTAGACGAGTTCCTGGCTTCCCAAGCTTGTGAGGATTCCTGGGGCTTCGATCATGTGGCATACTGAACCTCAAGTTACACATGGTGCCTCGTCAGGCAAGTGATTGGTTAAGAACATACCTTGTTTACACAGCAATGAATGGGTACAATAACATGGTGAATGCTAATCTTCAGGCGCTGTCAAAGGCAGCGTTGATTGGACACTCACCAGGAAGCTGAGAATGTGAGTCTACTGATGAGGTAAAACTGTTTAGCACCATCAGCATACTTTGGGGCATGAATATGTCACAGCTACATATGCACATATAAATAAATATAAGAGCTAATTACAGGAGATCTCTTTACTTATGAGAAATGTTGCCTACCTGAAGTAAAGAGCAAGATCAGTTGACAGGATAGCACTCTCCAACATCTGAAGGATTGTTTCATACTCACTCTGTGATACATTACACAGAATATCATTTCCCTGAAACAGACACTGAAATCAGGTAACATGTTACAGCATCACCTGAGCTCATTATAATTAACTTACCACAAACACAAAAAACATTCTCAAATATTTCTCCACAACAGCCAGTTATAATGTTTATAGATCAATGTGTGGGAATATATAGGTCTGTGTTTAATTCCCCTACAGTGCACATTCGCCAACTACTGTACCCCACAGTGCACATTCCCCCACCCCCACAGTGCACATTTCCCCCATTACTGTACCCCTACAGTGCACTTTCCCCACCCCCACAGTGCACATTTCCTCCATTACTGTACCCCACAGTGCACATTCCCCAACCCCCACAGTGCACATTTCCCCATTACTGTACCCCTAGAGTGCACATTCCCCACCCCACAGTGCAAATTTCCCCATTACTGTACCTCTAGAGTGCACATTCCCCACCCCCACAGTGCACACTTCTCACATTACTGTACCCCCTACAGTGCACATTCCCCACCCCCACAGTGCACATTTCCTCCATTACTGTACCCCCACAGTGCACATTCCCCACCCCGACAGTGTACATTTCCCCATTACTTTACCCCTACAGTGCACATTTCCCCAATAACTGTACCCCTACAGTGCATATTCGGCCCCATTACTGTACCCCTACATTGCACATTTCCCCACCCCACAGTGCACATTTACTCCATTACTGTACCCCCACAGTGCAAATTCCCCACCCCGACAGTGCACATTTCCCCATTACTTTACCCCTACAGTGCACATTCCCAAAACCCCCACAGTGCACATTTCCCCAATAACTGTACCCCTACAGTGCACATTCACCCCATTAATGTACCCCCTACATTGCACATTTCCCCACCCCCACAGTGCACATTTACTCCATTACAGTACCCCCACAGTGCACATTCCCCACCCGACAGTGCACATTTCCCCATTACTTTACCCCTACAGTGCACATTTCCCCAATAACTGTACCCCCACAGTGCACATTCACCCCATTAATGTACCCCTACAGTGCACATTTCCCCCACCCCACAGTGCACATTTACTCCATTACTGTACCCCCACAGTGCAAATTCCCCATTATTAGAACCCGACAGTGCACATTTCCCCACCCCCACAGTGCACATTTACTCCCATTACTGTACCCCCACAGTGCAAATTCCCCCACCCGACAGTGCACATTTCCCCAATAACTGTACCCCTACAGTGCACATTCGCCCCATTACTGTGCCCTACAGTGCACATTCCCCACCCCCAAAGTGCACATTCTCCTACCACTGTACCCCCCACAGTGCACATTCTCCTACCACTGTACCCCTACAGTGCACATTCACCCCATTACTGTACCCCTACAGTGCACATTCCCCCACCCCCACAGTGCACATTTCCTCCATTACTGTACCCCTACAGTGCACATTCCCCCAACCCCACAGTGCACATTTCCCCAATAACTGTACCCCTACAGTGCACATTCCCCAACCCCCACAGTGCACATTTCCCCAAACTGTGTACCCTAAAGTGCACATTCAACCCATTAATGTACCCCTACAGTGCACATTCCCCACCCCACACAGTGCACATTTACTCCATTACAGTACCCCCACAGTGCAAATTCCCCCACCCCGACAGTGCACATTTCCCCATAACTGTACCCCTACAGTGCAGATTCCCTCCATTACTGTACCCCCTACAGTGCTCATTCCCCACCCCAACAGTGCACATTCCCCGATTATTGTACCCCCACAGTGCACGCCCCCCATTACTGTACCCCCCCAGTGCACATTCCCCATTACTGTACCCCTACCATGCACATTACCTCCATTACTGTACCCCCACAGTGCACATTCCCCCATTACTGTACCCCACAGTGCACATTCCCTTCATTACTGTACTCCTACAGTGCACATTCCCTCCATTACTGTACCCCCACAGTGCATATTCCCCACTCTTGTACAATCACAGTGCATATTCCCCCATTACTTTACCCCCAGTGCACATTCCCCACCCAACCAGTGCGATTTCCCCATTACTGTACCCCCACAGTGCATATTCCCCACTCCTGTACAATCACAGTGCATATTTGCTCCATTACTGTACCCCCAGTGCACATTCCCCCATCCCCCAGTGCACATTCTCCCACCACTGTACCCCCACAGTGCACATTCCCCCAATTACTGTACCCCTACAGTGCACATTCCCCCCATTACTGTACCCCTACAGTGCACATTCCCTTCATTACTGTACCCCTACAGTGCACATTCCCTCCATTACTGGAAAGGAGCACTACCACCAATTTCAGTTAAAGTAATAATTGTTGCCATGGAAACACAAACAAATATTTTATTTAGAAATACAAAACTACCAAAAGGCACTAGTTCACCACTAGACCTATCTATGTGCAAAGTTTCGAGTAGAAATATTTACGGTTTGTATGTTCTGCTCCAGAAAACACGAATTTGCATGGATGGATCAATATCCATTGACACACCACTAATAATTCATACCTCTCCAAGGTAACTGTTTGTACAGCCCCAGTTGCCCCAAATCAGAGAACAAAGCAGGACTTCATCTGATGTTTACATGAATACAGACAATACATGATAGTGATGTGCTAACAATTGGATACTAAACCACAACTAGCTATCTATGTCATAAAACGTGTTTCTGTGTTACCTTTGTTGTAAGAATCATGATGCACTGATCAAAGTGATGGTGCTCAAGGGTTGAGGTGGTGTACAGTTCTGCCAGAGGAGTGTTCACTCTGAAACACACACGCATATATACAGTTCTCTTGTCAGTACATGCAGTCACAACAAGTTTGGTGGCATGGTTTGGGGTTGAGGGTGTGTACAGTTCTGCCAGAGGAGTGTTCACTCTGAAACACACACGCATATATACAGTTCTCTTGTCAGTACATGCAGTCACTACAAGTTTGGTGGCATGGTTTGGGGTTGAGGGTGTGTGCTATGGTTTAGGGTTATGTGTGTTGTGTGGTGTGGCAAGGTGTGATATGGTTTAAGGTTGATTGTATATGGTGAGTGTGATGTGGTGTTGTTTAAGGCTGATTGTGTATGGTGAGTGTGATGTGTGGTTTAAGGTTGACTGTGTATGGTGAGTGTGATGTGGTGTGATGTGGTGTGATGTGGTTTAAGGCTGATTGTGTATGGTGAGTGTGATGTGGTGTTGTTTAAGGCTGATTTGGCATGGTGAGTGTGATGTGTGGTTTAAGGCTGATTGTGTATGGTGAGTGTGATGTGTTGTTTAAGGCTGATTGTGCGTGGTGAGTGTGATGTGGTGTGATGTGGTGTGGTATGGTTTAAGGCTGATTGTGTATGGTGAGTGTGATGTGTGGTTAAAGGCTGATTGTGTATGGTGAGTGTGATGTGTGGTTTAAGGCTGATTGTGTATGGTGAGTGTGATGTGTTGTTTAAGGCTGATTGTGCGTGGTGAGTGTGATGTGGTGTGATGTGGTGTGGTATGGTTTAAGGCTGATTGTGTATGGTGAGTGTGATGTGTGGTTAAAGGCTGATTGTGTATGGTGAGTGTGATGTGTGGGTTAAGGCTGATTGTGTATGGTGAGTGTGATGTGGTGTGGTATGGTTTAAGGCTTATTGTGCATGGTGAGTGTGATGATGTGGTTTTAGGTTGATTTGTATGGTGAGTGTGATGTAGTGTTGTTTAAGGATGATTGTGGTGAGTGTCATGTGATGTGGTTTAAGGCTGATTGTGTATGGTGAGTGTGATGTGATGTGGTTTAAGGCTTATTGTGTATGGTGAGTGTGATGTGGTTTAAGGCTGACTGTGTATGGTGAGTGTGATGATGTGGTTTAAGGTTGATTTGTATGGTGAGTGTGATGTAGTGTTGTTTAGAGCTTATTGTGCATGGTGAGTGTGATGTAGTGTTGTTTAAGGCTTATTGTGCATGGTGAGTGTGATGATGTGATTTAAGGCTTATTGTGTATGGTGAGTGTGATGATGTGGTTTAAGGCTGATTGTGCATGGTGAGTGTGATGTGATGTGGTTTAAGGCTGATTGTGCATGGTGAGTGTGATGTGGTTTAAGGCTGATTGTGCAAGGTGAGTGTGATGATGTGGTTTAAGGTTGATTTGTATGGTGAGTGTGATGTAGTGTTGTTTAAGGCTTATTGTGTATGGTGAGTGTGATGGGATGTGGTTTAAGGCTTATTGTGTATGGTGACTGTGATGTGATGTGGTTTAAGGCTTATTGTGTATGGTGAGTGTGATGTGGTTTAAGGCTTATTGTGCACGGTGAGTGTGATGTGATGTGGTTTCAGACGTATTGTGCGTGGTGAGTGTGAGGTGGTTTAAGGCTTATTGTGCATGGTGAGTGTGATGATGTGGTTTAAGGCTGTGCATTGAGTGTTGATGTGGTTTTAAGGCGTGCATGGTGAGTGTGATGATGTTTGGTTTAAGGCTTATTGTGTATGGTGAGTGATTAGTGATGATGTGGTTTAAGGCTTATTGTGCATGGTGAGTGTGAATGTGATGTGGTTTAAGGCTGATTGTGCATGGTGGTTGTGATGTGGTTTAAGGCTTATTGTGCATGGTGAGTGTGATGATGTGGTTTAAGGCTGATTGTGCATGGTGAGTGTGATGATGTGGTTTTAAGGCTTATTGTGTATGGTGAGTGTGATGTGGTATGGTTTAAGGCTGATTGTGTATGGTGATCGTGTATGATGTGGTTTAAGGCTGATTGTGCATGGTGAGTGTGTGATGTGTAGTTTAAAGGCTGATTGTGTATGGTGAGTGTGATGATGGTTTAAGGCTTATTGTGCATGGTGAGTGTGATGATGTGGTTTAAAGGTTGATTGTGTATGGTGAGTGTGATGTAGTGTTGTTTAAAAGGCTTGTTGTGCATGGTGAGTGTGATGTGATGTGTGTTTATAAGGCTGATTGTGTATGCATGGTGGAGGTGTGATGATGTGATTTAAAGGCTGATTGTGCATGGTGAGTGTGGCTGATTGTGATGTGGTTTAAGAGCTGATTGTGCATGGTGAGAGTGTGATGATGTGGTTTAAGGCTGATTGTGCATGGTGAAGTGTGATGGTAGATGTTTAAGGCTGATTGTGCATGGTGAGTGTGTGATGATGTGGTTTAAGGCTGATTGTGTATGGTGAGTGTGATGTAGTGTTGTTTAAGGCTTATTGTGTATGGTGAGTGTGATGTGATGTGGTTTAAGGCTGATTGTGTATGGTGAGTGTGATGTGTGATGTGATGTTTTTTAAGGCTTATTGTGATGTGAACAAAAGGCTATGGTGAGTGTGATGTGGTTTAAGGCTTATTGTGCACGGTGAGTGTGATGTGATGTGGTTTCAGACGTATTGTGCGTGGTGAGTGTGAGGTGGTTTAAGGCTTATTGTGCATGGTGAGTGTGATGATGTGGTTTAAGGCTGATTGTGTTCGGTGAGTGTGATGATGTGGTTTAAGGCTTATTGTGTATGGTGAGTGTGATGATGTGGTTTAAGGCTTATTGTGCATGGTGAGTGTGATGATGTGGTTTAAGGCTGATTGTGCATGGTGGTTGTGATGTGGTTTAAGGCTTATTGTGCATGGTGAGCGTGATGATGTGGTTTAAGGCTGATTGTGCATGGTGAGTGTGATGATGTGGTTTAAGGCTTATTGTGTATGGTGAGTGTGATGTGGTATGGTTTAAGGCTGATTGTGTATGGTGATCGTGATGATGTGGTTTAAGGTTGATTGTGTATGGTGAGTGTGATGTAGTGTAGTTTAAGGCTGATTGTGTATGGTGAGTGTGATGTGGTTTAAGGCTTATTGTGCATGGTGAGTGTGATGATGTGGTTTAAGGTTGATTGTGTATGGTGAGTGTGATGTGGTTTAAGGCTTATTGTGCATGGTGAGTGTGATGTGATGTGGTTTAAGGCTGATTGTGTATGGTGAGTGTGATGTGGTTTAAGGCTGATTGTGCATGGTGAGTGTGATGTGATGTGGTTTAAGGCTGATTGTGTATGGTAAGTGTGATGATGAGGTTTAAGGCTGATTGTGTATGGTGAGTGTGATGATGTGGTTTAAGGTGGATTTGTATGGTGAGTGTGATGTAGTGTTGTTTAAGGCTTATTGTGTATGGTGAGTGTGATGTGATGTGGTTTAAGGCTGATTGTGTATGGTGAGTCTGATGTGATGTGGTTTAAGGCTTATTGTGCATGGTGAGTGTGATGATGTGATTTAAGGCTGATTGTGTATGGTGAGTGTGATGTGATGTGGTTTAAGGCTGATTGTGCATGGTGAGTGTGATGTGATGTGGTTTAAGGCTGATTGTGCATGGTGAGTGTGATGTGATGTGGTTTAAGGCTGATTGTGCATGGTGAGTGTGATGATGTGGTTTAAGGCTGATTTGTATGGTGAGTGTGATGTAGTGTTGTTTAAGGCTTATTGTGTATGGTGAGTGTGATGTGATGTGGTTTAAGGTTGATTGTGTATGGTGAGTGTGATGTACTGTTGTTTAAGGCTTATTGTGTATGGTGAGTGTGATGTGGTTTAAGGCTTATTGTGCATGGTGGGTGTGATGTGGTTTAAGGCTGATTGTGTATGGTGAGTGTGATGATGTGGTTTAAGGCTGATTGTGTAACGGATGGACACGACTGCATGGATGGACACACTGACAGCATCACAGGACACAGTGGATGGATGGAGCCAAGGACACACTGACAGCATGGTGGACACGACTGGACACAGTGGACACGACACACACACAGTGGATGGATGACCCACATGGACACAGGCATGCCGATCAGGAGGGACACACAGGAGATGGACACAGACAAGTGGATGGAGCCGACAGTGGAGTGGATCACTGACACACACACATGGAGTGGATGGACAAGGAAGGACACACACAGCATGGACACAGGACACAGGCATGAGGAAGAAACACACTGACTGGTATGGTGGATGTGGACACTGACAGGAAAGGAGTGGATGGATGTGAAGGCCGACCAGCACAGGACACACTGAGTGGAGTGGACACTGACTGCATGGATCATCCCACAGGATGGACACACAGCATGGACACACAAGGAGTGACGGAGGAAGACACACAGTGGACACACTGGATGGACACAACAGTGCATGGACAGGACAAGAGAAGGATGGATGGACACACGGACAAGAGTGGAGGAAAGATGGACACTGACCAGTGGACACTGAGGACGAGTGGATCAGCACGGTGGAGTGGAAAGTGGACGACACAGTGGAGTGGACACACTGACTGCATGATGGATGGAACACTGACACACAGGAGTGGATGGATGTGGGAGACACTGACAGCAGGTGTGGATGGATGGGACACAGGAAAGAGTGGATGGATGGACATGTGGACACACAAACAGTGGATGGATGGAAAGGAACAAGAAGGGAGTGGAGGACAAGTGGACAGAAGGAAGACATGGCTTGTATTGTGGATGGATGGAAGGAACATGGTGGATGGACACACAGAACAGCAGGATGGACACTTGTGTATGGATGTCAGTGTGGAATGAAAATGTGGATGGATGGAATGAAGAGTGGAGGAAAAGAAATGACATGGATTGTGGATGGAAGGAAGGACAGGAGTGGATGTGGATAAAGAAGGACCTATATGGATGTGGAAGTGGATTTAGTAGTGGTGGAGGGACTGAAAGAATAATGACAGTATGGAAAAGAGTGGATGGATGGAAGGACAGTATGGTGGATGGATGGGAAAGGAGAAGGAGTATGGTGGATGGGGATGGAAAGGAGAAGAAGG